GTTCTCCAATTCTTCCTTTTCTTACAAGAATTACTGACTTTAAAATGCTATACATACTTTGCTTCCTTCATTTTTCACAAAAATCAGCTTCTATTCTTGCCTCTTTATTTCCTCATCCTTTCTTCCAGATAGCCCTTTTAAATATTTTTTATTAAGTCAAATTTATTTATCTTCTAATCTTGTAAATAAATATCATTAAATGAATCTCCAGTAGAGAAACTATTATCCAAATACTTTCAAGCATGAGAAAAACAAAACTGATTACATGTATTCTACTTGGGGAATTATAAATACAAATTTATGAATCCAGATAAATTAAAGATGATAATTCACACCAACAAAGGCAGGAAAAAAAAGGGCCAATGAGCAAACCTCACTAAAAATCAAAACGATGCAGATTAAAACAAAATGTTGCCCAGAAGTCAAGAAAAAAAGATAAAAATCAATATCAAACAGTTGACTCAAGATTAGAAATAGAGGTACAGCATTTCTATAGAACAATTATGCTCCGTGACTTCACAGCCTTATATCAGGAATTTATCCTAAAATGAGTCAAGTTCACAAAGATGTATGTATAAGGACATCCAACATAGCTCTATTTAAAATAATGAAAAAATTAGACTCTAAATGCCCATAACTGGTGATTACAGAACATTCATAAAAGAAAAAACAAAATAGCCTTTGGAAAAGATCACGTATCATCATATCTACTTCCAAGATTCCCCAAGATATCCTGCTATGGGGATGTAAAATAGCACATATAATATGATCCCAGTTATATAAAATCATATATCTTTATGCTTATATATGAAAAGAGAGGTTAGAAGAATGTTCATCAAAATGTTGATTCTGGCATGTGAGACTTGAAGACATTTTTCCTGTCTTTTTTTTTTCCAATTGAGGTGAAATCCACAAAACAAAAATTTATCTCTGCCTTCTTCTGTTTCTGTATAATCTGAATTTTCTACAATGAACATCTATTTTTATAAGGAGAAAAAAATTGTTTAAGAAAAATAAAACAGCCTAGAGAGTACCTATAAACTAATGTTGTAAACAAGAAACACAATTACTCTTTCTATCAATTAAATAACTTTACATTTTATAAAATAGCACCCCTAATTTCTTAGTATAGTTTTTAACACATCACCACTTGACAGGTATACTTTAGGCAAAGAATATTACAAGTTGATATGGTCAATTTAAAATATATCTAATCAAAATACAGAATTTCTATTATAAGATATAAGAAAATAAATTTTAGTTTCAAAAATTTGATTCACACAAAATTTCTCAGACACATTTCTAAAGTGAACAGTATGGTATTCCTTTACAGAATATACTTACCAAAACTGCCCAGTTGTTTGTGTGGCCACTTCTAAAGAACTGTTCTGTTCGATCCTGTCAAATAATAGGAAAAAGATTAGAAGAAAGTCACATTTCCCAGAATAAAGACTTATAAAAGACACATAAGATTCATGGAGTTTTTATAGTTATAACAATAAATCATCACTATGTTTGTTTATAAAGATTCTAGTATTTGACCTTATGAAAGACTATAAATAAAGAGCTTATTTTTTGTTGGGGGGGGGGCATTATTTTGATGAGGAGCTGTTTGTTCTTAAAGATTTTGTCTCAGACAGCTCTTCCTAGTTTTCCAGACTGAACAATTTTGGTCTTCAAATTGTTCATAACTTATTCCATATATTGACTCTATATCTAACAATTAATACCCTTCCAGTTGAAATTTCATTCACATTTGTTTGTTTTCTGTGCTAGATGCTTCCAATTATTTTATTTGAACTCACCAATATATTTTATTGAACACATTTTCTAACATACTGCCATGTACCATTTCACTAATCTATTAAAGTAAGTCTAAATTATATTTGCCAACATGGAACATTAAAATCCCTAGCATCCAATACCACACAGACACCTAATGAACATGATTTTAATTATATATTAAAATAATAACGAATATAAACCAAAATGACTTCAAATCTGCTCCCAAGCAGTATTAATTACTAGACCAAACTGCCTGGATTCAAATCTGGGCCCTATTACTTACTTGCTGTATAAACTTAGGAAAACTGCTTAACTTCTCTGTGCCTCCATTTCCCCATCCACGAAATGATAATATTACCTGACTCACAGAATGTAGGAATGGTGACTGAAATCTAGTGATTACATAACAATTTTTAGCTGTATTAATTTTCAACTGACGAGAAAATCTCAGGGAGAATGAAATGAAAAATTCACTCAAATGTGTGGGTATCATACCTATACCCACACACCCACACCCAGAGGCACACCCACACATATATATTTTTAACCTTAACAGCTGCCTAGATGCTAAGAAAGCAATGTGCTATACAGTGATAAAGCATTGGTTTAGGAATTTGAAGACCTGAGTTTTAGCCCAGGTCATATCAGTCAGCTGACTACGAGACTGGGTTAAGTCATTTAGCTCTTTAGACTTGACTTTCCTCATGTAGAAAAAGAGTTGACCCAATAATCTTTAATATCCCTTCCAACTCCAAAATTCTTTCTTCATTAAGACTTCAGTGAAATTTGTGGTTGTTGACAATATAGGCACTGCAAAGTTACTAATTCATTCTAAATATAGTTAGTAGAGAACTTATTAAGTGTCAGGTACCATGTAATGTACAGTAATATAAAAATCATTGAAAAGCATGCTGCTTTCTCTCAAGAATCCCGGGTTCAATTAAAGAAGATAAGCATGCAAACACATTACACGACAATATAACATTCATTCATTCATTCATCACATTCATTAGGTACCATGTGCCAGTCATGGTCTTGAGTGCTCAGAATACAATGATGGGCAAAACAATCATACTACTTGCCTTCAAAGAATTTACTATCCAATTTGATAGACACACATTAAGCAGCTAAGGACAAGTATAACAGAGGGGAATGACCTGATCTGGGAGTGAGGGGTATGGGCATGGGTCAGAGAAGGTTTCCTTAGAGAAGTGACATTTGGGTTAGGATCCAAAAGATGAAAAGAAGAGGGAAGATAATTCCAGAGGAAATATGGGCCCTAATGACAGACAGATGGGGGCTTAAAGGTTTTAAGAAACTGAAAGATTAGCACGACTAAAAGTTTGAAAGAGAGAACTGGAGGTGTAAGCAGGGGCCAAAGTATGCAGGGCCTTGTTTATGGGTCAGAATGAAGATTGTGCTCTTCATCCTTAAAGCAATATTAAGATGTATACAGGTGACATGATCAGATTTGTATTTTGAAATGCTACTCTGGATGCAGCTTGGAGAACACTGGAAAAATGACTTGATGCAAACTAGTTAGGGAGCTATTGCACTCTAAGTGAAAGACAATGGAATAACAGTGCAAAGCATACATGGATTATAAAATGAGTGCTATACTAACTTAATGTACAAATTATAATAGTAAAAGAAAAGAGATAGGGAAAGGTTCTATAGAGGTTATGCTTTTACTGCATCTTAGTAAACAGAATAAAGAGGTATAAAACATGGTAATGTGAAAAAGCACAGCAATGGTCAATACAGAGAGAAATGATATCCAAAATGAAGCATACAAGATAATCCACTGGAATAAAGGAGGAAAACAAAACTTCTATTCACATTATCTAAAAATATGCTTTATAAATATTAAATATATAAATCAGCAATTCATGAATATGTAGAGAGTGTATCCTCAATATTTTTTTAAACTGGTGTTGTGTGTATTCAAAAAGTTTGGAGTCCACTGATCTAAGCTCAATGTACTGAGATGGTGGGGGGGAATGGGCTCCAATATGAAGACTGGAAGAGTAGGCAGAGACCAGATCATGCATGATGTTAACTTTATTCTGTATGCAATGGAAAAACATTGAAAAGACTCAATCAGAGGATAAACTGAACAGGTTTAGATTTTATGAAGACTAATCTAGCATCTACATGAGGGAGTTTAGAAACCTCGGGGAAACAAGATGAGTTATTACAATAGTCTACATAAGAAATGACCAGGCCCGCATTAAACCAGTGGAACTAGAGGAAAAATCAATTTTAGAAGTTCAGAACATAGAATTTAGTTTTAATTCAAATGTGGGATAAAAGACTTTACTTTTAAAAACTTCAGGTTTCTATCAAAGGAACAACCTCATAGGAGACGGGATAGACAGAAGATAAAACTCTGGACACAGATTTTCAAATATCTGCCGACCATATTGATCCCTTAGCCAGCTCGATATGCAGGCCTGAAAATGATGCCAGAGATCAGGAGTGTTGAATTGGACTAAGGTATTAGCGTACAGGAAATAGTAAAGGCTTGAAAAAGGCCAGAAAGTGCTGTGAGCCAAAAATAAAACACCGTATCCACCTGACTCCTATCAAAGGGAAGCGTCGTAGTTTAATAGTAGAAAAGTTAAATGCTGCATTCTGTTCGCATTTCACCAGATAGGGACTGCACATTTGTCGGAGCAAAGGATCGGGTCCCCTACCTCTCCGTGTCCTGGAATTTGATTCTTTCAATTCGTCATTTTAAAAGGCTGAAACAGACCGAAATGTCCTATCCAGACCCCTGTAATACCCTCCCCACAGTCTAGTCTGACTAGTAAGAGGCTGATGACTCCAGGCTTCCCTCAGCTTTTGCATCAGACATCTGCTGGGGAGCTCACAGTCACAACAAAGCTGTCCTCCCAGGGCCCTGTCGTTCAGAGGGCCTGACTCCTACCTCGATCTGACTAGTAGCCAAGCTGTCGAAGGACAAGAGCAACAGCACTGCAAATGCAGTCACACCCTGGCTCAGAATATAGGTGGCGACCATGTTTGCCGGCTCCGTTCTCCTGCGCCTGGAGGGCGGAGCGAGTGCCGTAAAGCAGCGCGGCGGGTTTTGCGTGTGTGGTTTGGTTTTTTTTTTTTTTCTTTTTCTTTTTTTTGCGACGCCAGCCCCACCTCCTTGAGGCCGCTGTCTCGCCAGCCTTTAAAAGTAAGTGCTGCCGGACAGTTGCAGTTTCCGGATTAGCTGGGACAAGATAGGGAGAACCTCAAATCTTTAACTGCATTTTCAGTTCCTGCATTACAAAGTAGATATAACGTTGAAATTTTTTTCGAAAGATGAGGAAGAAATACCTGTAATCACATAAACTCAGAAGCTACTTCTTTTTTTGCGTAGTGCTGCCAAGTCTGTGAATATATGAAGCATGTGTGGGAAGAGCAAGCGTTTCGGCACAAAAAGATGATTAATTGATCGACTGCAGATAGGAAGATGGGTGGGTCCTGCAACAGGTTTGGAGTCTATTTTTGAAAGTATGAATATGAAGAAATTAAAGTTTTGTTCTGTAATTGTGGAGCTAAAACTTATTTCAAAGATGATCTGAGGATTTAATAAGTACATGTATATTCGTTCCATTATGTCCATCACATGCATTCAATTTTAAGTTATGCTTTTCATATAGCATGACATAAACGTGTTTATGCTGCTTCATAAGCTTCATAATTTTAACATTGAATGGTAATATTGAATTCCACCCCATACTGATTCCTCAGCCAAAGTAATTGCCCTTCTATTGGACAATATAAAGTTTCTAAGCTTTACTATAAAATAATATTGTAAAGAGTATCTTCGTGCACTTGGCTTTTTACATTTGTTGAATTATTTTCTTTGCATAATTTTTTTTTTGTAACCAGAGTCAGCATTTAGACTAAAATTTAATTCAGTTATGCATTAAGTGAATAATTGACCTAGCAACTAAAAAAGAAAACAAGCATTTGATTATCAGATCAAAATCACACACATCCATGGTTTCTCTAATAAAAGTTTTTATGCGTACCATCACAATAAGCACCATAAAGTTTATCCATGCTGTTTTTACTATTCGTCAATCAAGTAATAACATATTGATTCTATTAACTGTTAGATCACTTTATTTTTGCTCTCTCCACTTACCTATACTCCTACTATATCTTCTTTTTCATTCTCTTTTTCTCTCTCCTCCTTCCTGCACCAAGAAGACCATTGTGCTATTCATTCACTCAGTGGATGTTCATTAAGCACCAATTATGTACCAAGCATTGTGCTAGTCAAGGGCGAAAGAAGAGAGAACAAAAAAAGTCCGGTCCTCATGGAGCTTTTAATCTAGGGGAGGCAGGCATTAATAATGGAAGCATTTAAGCAGATGGAAAAGTCTAACAAGGGGGTTCCTAGTGGTGGACCCAATCTTGTAAGAATATGGAGATGAAATTGGTGAGTTAATGAGGCAAAGATGGAGGGGAAGGAAGAGTTTTCAAGGCAGAGGAAATAGCTGTTGCAAAGAACCTGTAACAGAAGAAAGGTTTGGCTTATTAGGGAAACTTTTTGAATGACTTTGTGCTTCCAGTTCAAAGAACAAAAGAGAGTGCTGCAAGATGAAAGTGCATTGCCAAGCAGGTGCCACCTCCCTCCAAAGCCTTGAGCATCAGGTCATAGAAAGCCTCAGGATGGCAAAGATCATGTTGGCTCCAGTGAGCAGAATGGCTGCAGATAGAGCATTTGGGAGGTCATTGCTCCAATTCAGGCAATGGTATCCTGGATCGGAGTAGTAAGAGTAGAGATGATGAAAAATGGAGAGAACCAAAGAGGATTTGAAGATTACAACCAACAGAACATGTCAATGGATTATATTTGGGAAGTAGGAGAGAGGACAGTTTCAATGATGACTTTTGGATATTTGACTTGCACAACTGAATGCTTAGTAGAGCCATTTTTTTTTTAAATTTAAGAATCATAGGAAGTGAGGCAAATTCGGATTTATACACAAGCGAGGCCTGGCTTAAATATTTACCCAGCTTATTTGGAAGACAAACTCCGATAAATTTATTATAAATATTTTGTGACTACTACATAAATGTTGACACAAAGTAAAATGAGTAAAAATGATAAATTTAATCAGGATCAGAACATGGCCCCTGAGAGATTTTGCAATTTGCTTAATATTATATAGTTTAATTGCCACAGGCAAGTCTGTTTGCTACAACGTAGAGCAAACAGTGGAAACATTTTATATCTAACAGTCAAAACATTCCTTTGGGCAAGATAAAATTTGATAAAATGAAATTAAATATATAATAAAATACAAATTAAAACAATTAAAGCAAAAGTGCTTTCTTTATGGTGAATTTGTATCATTTCCTAGTACTGATTTTAATATTGGACCACTTTAAATTCCATTTCAGTTTGGCCTCAAATATTTTTCTTCTCCCAGTGAGCCATTTAATAATAGTTGTTATGCTATAATCAATTTCCATCTCATGACCTTCTCATTAGTTTCAGAAATAACTCATAATAACATTGCTTCAAGAGTAGAGCAACTGCCCTTCCAAATCTGATTTTTGGAAATCGTGTGTTGTCATAAAAATGTCATTATGACCTAGACAGAAAGTCCTGTTGCATGCTTTAGTGATATAAAACTCTGTATCTCATTAGTAGTGTAATCCTCCCTTGTCAATCAAGAAACCACTGCTTCTCTCAGTATAAAGTTAATTGATAAAGTTCAAGTCTCCATGCGCTGAGAATTTCCTACAAGTGCAATTGACTTTATTTAACTTTTGTCCTTATAAGAAGAGCAAAGCACACAGAGAGAAGAAAGTCATGTAAGATAGTGCAGTGATGCAACTACAAGCCAAAGAACATCAAGGATTGCTAGGAGCCACCAGAAGCTAGGAAGAGGCAAGGAAGAATTCTTCCCTAGAGTCTTCAGAGGGACCACTGCCCTGCCATCACTTTGATGTCTGATTTCTAGCCTCCAGAAACATGAGAGTAAATTTCTGTTGTTTTAGCCACCTATTTTGTGGTAATTTGTTAAGGTAACCCTAGGAAACTAATACTGGATCTAAGGTAGCTATTTTCAAAACCAACCAATATTTTTTAATATTATGCTATCAGCATTTATTATTTCTTCCACTTCTTTAATTTCTTACAGAAATAGAGTCGATGAAGAACAGTTTGTTTTGTGATGATTAGAGTAATCAGTATTTATTCATTCCATAAACATTTGAGGACAGTATTAGAGAAGATGATTTTGCCCCAAAACAACAGACAGTCCCACTAAAAGTGATTTAAACTAAAAGGATATTTAATTATCTGGTAAGATAAGTAGTCCACTGAAAGATGGTTTTAACGTTGGTTTGCAAATTCATTGATGTCTCCAAAGACCAAGGGTCCTCCTGCTCCACTGCTTCAGCATATTGGCTTTAAGACTCTGATTTGTTTCTCATGGTAGCAGGATGGCTGCTGAAGCTCCAAATATCATATTATTGTGTATTAAAGAAGACAATCTTAGTAACCTCCTAACAAATGTCCCCTTATGTATGATTGTCCAGGGCTTGTTCACATGCCCATTTCTAGACTTGACAAAGGAGCACAGGGTTGGTGAATCTAGCCCAGATCAATCACTATTTGTACCGAGCACCTCCCCCACATCCCCAGCTGCTAACATTACATTTAGAAAACAAGCTAGGGTTCTGTTAGCAAAGAAGGAAGAGAATCACTGGGGCAAAGTATATGCATATTTAATTTGATGAAACAGAGCCATATTTCTCTCTGAAATGGATGCTCCATCTAAACTGCCACCAGCAATGCATGAAGATTCCTATGCCCCCACAACCGGCATTTCTCTTTTCTTTCTTTCTTTTTTTTTCATTCTAATAGGGGTTAAGTAATAGCTCATTGTTTTAATATGCATTTCTCTGACTAATAATACTTTTGAGCATATCTTCATACACATGCTAAGCTTTAGGATTTCCTCTTTTGTAAATTGTCTACTCATAGTCTTTGCCCATTATAAAGTTGTGTTTTCTATCTTTTCCTTGTTTGTTTGCAGGAGTTCCTTATGAAGGACAGATATTTAATCCTTTATTAGTTTTAGATATTCAGATATGTTCTTCTGTTCTTTCAACTTTGTTTATGTGGTCTTTGAATGAACAGAAATCCTTTCAATGAACAGAAATCCTTAATTAAATAAGATTAAAATATACATATTTGACAGAGTTATTGTGAACTTTAAATATTATTGTGGCTATAAAACTCTTGTCTATAGTGCCAGGTACAAAGTAAGTGCTTAATAAATAAATCTCAGATATTATTATTTCTATTTTTGTTGTTATTCATTTGACTCTATCTTTTCCAGAAGTTACAATTATCTTTTGCTGCCATTACACCTTGCACATATTTCAATTGTAACAATTGTTATATTGTCTTTGAGGCCAAGGACCATGCCTTATTCATCTCGTGGTCCCACGACTTAGGACATACTAAATAGTGCTCAATAAATGTATTTTTAATAAATATATAAATAATGAAGTTTCAAAGAAATTTAAATAATGAAGGATACTAACTGGGGAAAATAATAACTATAGAAGTCATGAAAGTTTTATATTTTAAAAAAAGAAAATATTTCTAAAAGACATATCTGATAAAGGAGTGTTATCTAAAATATATGAAGAACTCTTAAAAACTCAGCTCTAAGAAAATGAACAACCAGATTTTAAAAATATGCAAAAGACACCTCACCAAAAAAAGATATACAGATGGCAAATAAGCATATAAAAAGATGTTCAACATCATATGTCATTAGGGAAATGCAAATTAAACAATAACGAGCTACCACTACATAGCAGCTACTAGAATGGCCAAAATCCAAACACTGACAACACTAAAGCTGTCTAGGATGTGGAGCAGCAGAAACTCTCATATATTGCTGGTGGAAACACAAAATGGTACAGGAAGACAATTTGGTAGTTTCTTACAAAATTAAATTCACTCTTACCATGTAATCCAGCAGTTGTGCACCTTGGTATTTTCCCAAATGGGTTGAAGGCTTATGTCCACACAAAAACCTG